TCATCTTTTCAATGAGACCTGTCCTGACCAAGTGATTTTTAATTAAAGCTTGTTCTTTCACCACTCCCCAGTCCCAGCTGCAGCAGAATGTCAGCTCACTGAGAGCAGGGCTTTGTGGACTGCTGTTTCTGTAGCACAGGGCCTGCAAAAAACCTGGTTCTCCATAAATGTTTGTTAAATGAATATATTCTGATCCTATCTCCCCCATCTCCTGAAGTGAAATTGAAGTTTCCCATCTTTGCCAGATTAAGGTCCTATTTAGTTCAGTTTTGTGTGAGGAGGGAAGTGCGTTTACTCATACACTCCGTAAATAGGTAATGAACATCAATCACAACAGCTTTTGGGGGGCTTCTGGGCAGTCACAATATTGCAATGAACAAGAAATAAGGTTCCTGCCCACAGGAGCTTATATTCAGGTGGGATACATGCTGGTAAATTATCATGTCCATTCCTCCAACCTCAAACCCTCTCTAGTGTGACAGGTCCTGGAGCTGGACTGGGTACCACTGGAAACCCACCAGGCTGCCCATCAGCATGTCAGGCTCCCTGTCCCAAGATGCCAGGGAGGATCAAAGAGGAACTTGGTGGAGAGTGAGCTCTCAGTGGACCTGGCATGGCAGGGAGCGGATAAAGATGGGGCAGATCTCCAGGGAGAAGGACGCTCAAGATCAGACTCGTTGATCTAAGCCACTTCAAAGGGTTTTTCAACTTCCAGCTTGAGCAGAGAAAATGATCACACGCCAGAGGGAAAGCTAGATGAATTTTTCAACTGGAATGTTCTTCCCTAAGGATGGGCCATTGCACATATCTCAAGTGCTACTACTTGATCTGAAAATCCTTCTGGGTAACTCCAGGTAAAAGGGCTTTGATTGTACCAGGGAGTACAGCTAAACTGTAGAGTTGAAGGGAATGACCGCTGGAACAATAAGTGCTCCAGGTGAAGTAGTTCAGTAAGTCATGAGACAAAGTCTCCATGGCAAAGTAGGCAGAGCACCCATGTTATGAGCATAAACTCTGACCTCAGCTTTCCTCTTGTACTCAATCTCTATGACCCCTGCTCTTGGAGATGGGAAATCAATGGGCACAGGTCAGAAGTTAGGAGCCATTGTCAGGTGTCAAGGAGCATAGCACTTTCTAGAGGCAGAAGAACTTGACAAATGGGCATAGTGTACACATTAATTGATGGGAAGGCTGAAGCTCAGGAGAAAGTGTATCATCTTCCTATCAATAGAATGGGACCAGCACTGTGCCAGGAGAGCATGCTGAAGACATGATGTACATGTCAGCTTTTGTCACGGTAACTACCCCAAATCTCAATGGATCCCCATAACAAATGTTTACTTCTTGCTTCTGAGTCTTCAGATTGGCTGTGGCCCTACTGGGCTTGGCTCAGCTGAGCTCAGCTAGGTTCTGCTTAGCTCAGTTTGGCTATGAGGTGTAGGTTGAGTTCAGGTCTAATCCACATGTTCCTTCACATGGAGAAGCAGTTTCCAAGAGGTCAAGTCCAAGAGGCATCTGCTCACATTCTGATGACCAAAGTCCCAAGTGAACAGGGTAGGGAAGTAGACTACCTATCAAGATGCACTACAGAATCCCCTGTACAATCCTAATAAAGGAAGTAAGCAGATTTATTGGGAACAATCATCCAATTACCACACACAGGGATGTCAGAGGGCCTCAGAGACAGGAGAGGATTCCTCAGAGCCAGAGTTCTCCTGGGAAAGGACAGCCCCTACCATTGCCTCCCTCTAGATGCCATCAGCATTTATCTAGGCTGGCTCATAAAAGGCCAGGATAGAGTTGAAAACAGGCGAAGACCTCACCTGCTGGTGAGTTGCAGATATCTCCATGGGACAGACAAGCCCATGTTCTTTTCTAAAACAACCAGTAATCAGGACAGTGAAGGCAGAGAAGTAAAAAATGAACCACCTATAGTGGCTAAAGAATTCCAGGAATCACTAGATCTTGAGTGGAATTGTAGTGATAGTACTCACTTCAAGACTACTTCAAAATGCACACTTTGCAGAGGTCTCAGCTAGACACTGTGTGGCCTGAAAATTCTGCAATATTATATATATAAATACACATATATATATAATATTGCAGAATTTTATATATATATTTATATATAGATATAAATATTTGTATGGGGGAAGACAATATACATATTTTAAAGGCCCTTCAAGAAGCAAAATTTTTTTGAAGATGTGGGGTACAATCAATTAGGGTTAGGTACATAAGTGGTCACCATACAGGTAAAGTTTGATACTTATTGGTGTTATGAGTCCTTCTCCCCGCCGGCAGTGTCCCCCTACTGTCAATCCCTTTCTTACAGTATTATGATAAATGTTTAGGGTCTGCTTATGAGTGAGTACTTGTAGTACTCAGATCTTTGTTTCTGTGATAAATCACTGAGTATTACAGATTCTAATTCCATCCAAGCTGCTACAAAGTTCATCATTTTGTTTTTCTTTATGGTGAATTTTTAAGGACAAATAAATGCCTTATATTTAAATATTCAGTTGTCTGCTGGGTATTAACTCTTCAATAACAGCAGCATTTCTTCAGTAAAGCCAAATACACACACACACACACACACACACACACACACACACACCAAGACACAACAATCTCTCTTTGACAGTACAGCTGCTGCTCAAACCCTGAGTACCAGGACTAGAAAGAATATCTTCACTCGAAGTCCCACTAGATAGCAGGCTGAAGTTGCAGGAAGATATCTAGGCCCCACCAAGCCAGGCTTGGTTTCTGGAGTAGTTTTGAAGGTAGGGGCTGTAGCTGGGATGATATTCAGAATATTTAATAACCAGTGTGGCAGAGGTCCTGACCAATCAGAACTGCAGCCAACACATTGTGACCTGCATGCAAATGACTGCAGTCCCTGCATCCAGCTGGAAAGACTGTGGAAGATGCTGGCTGGGAGTCCATCGGGAGACTGACGTTGAAAGGTGAAAGGGAGCAGCACCTGCCTGCATGACCTGCTACTATCCCATGTGCAAAGGGCTGTGAATTTCAACCTGAGACCCTGGGGATCCTGCAGGGCATAAGCTAGACTTGTCTTCCTGCCTGAGGCGATCACCAATTACATGTGCTGTGAGGCAAGCTGGCCTCCCACCTGAGAAGGAGGTGAAGAGATTTACAGAATCTCTCTCTGATCTGACTTATTAAAGTAGTTAAAGGAGACCCATCCAGCAGGCAGCACCATGTAGAGATAAAGAAGTCAGGATTTAAATCCTTCCTATCTGGGAGGCCTAGACAAGAGTCCTTCAGCATCTCTTGGGTTCAGTCCCCTCATCTGGAAAATGGGAGTCCTAACAGGAACTACCTGGCAGGGTCATGATGAAGGTGAAATGAGCTAATAATACAGTCAAAGCCCTTGAAGCAGCCTAGCCCAGAGTTGGTCCTCCATAGTGGGAGCCATTGTTACTATTCAAGATGGCTGAATGACCCAGGAATTAGATGAAACAAGTGATCAAAAGGGAGGTGAGACACAAAAGTCACATGAAGTTGGTGGAGGGACGTCTGATTCAAAGGAGAGCTGATTTTGTTACTGATTGCCTTTAGTTGGCCAGTATCATCCAAGGCCTGTAGAAAGTGGGAGTACTGAGTGGGATCCAAGGCCTTCCTGGGGGGAATCTGCACAGACACGTGCTCCCCCCAGCATCCTCCCTCTCCAAGCAGTGGATCCAGCCCAGCAACACTGGGGGCTGGTGTTGTCTGTAACAAGATAAAAGGTCTATGCTTGAGAAGCAACATTTGCTGCCACTTCCCCGCCAGGACAAAAGAAAGCCAAATCAAACCCAAATAACACCTGCAGGCCCACACCACAGCTTTTTGATTGTCTGTGATAACCATGTGACATCTGAAAATACATACCATACTCTACAATCCCTATCAATGCTGCTTGTAAAATCCACCCACTTCTCATGGAACATCACAGACTCTTGGAAACTCACACAGGCTTTTCTTCTCATCTCTGAATGAGACATCGCCTGTGGATGAGTGACCAAGAGGGGAACCCAAGGTGTACTGGTGGCAGAACAGAAGTGTCCAGGATGCATAGCTTGCCAATTGAGGAATGCCATGCCAAGCAGCTTGGATTTCTGTCTTGGATAAGAGGTAACACCTGGGAGATTCCTCTTTCTTGCACTGTCACTTCCTGAACCTAAGGCCAAAGGTAACCTGGCAACTTCCAGAAGTAACTTTATCCCAGAACAACAAGCTATGGATTGGGTTTGCTTGACTGCACCAGTATCACATCAATGACTGACTTACCCAATGCATTTTTATTTTTTATTTCAACCCATCTTCCAAAGCCCAAAGCAACTTAAGACCACAAGAGCCACCACCTCTACCAAAAAAAAAAAAAAAAGGAATATTTTGAAAGCTTAACTGATAACTCCACAGTCATTCATTCAACTGACTCCCGAGGAAATGGAAGGCGTCTGGAAAATGTATTTTAAATTGATTTAACGTTGAGCCATGTTAAATGCTTTAATTTCCAAGCAATGCAATGCCCACCAAAACATCAATTAGTCCCAGCAATCAGGCAGGAATATTGGTTTCTGTTGAGGGATTCTTTATTTCAGCTCTGCTAGGTACCGAGTAAGGAGAAATCCAATGTAGCCAGAGGAGAAACCAGAGCAGGCCCTGGCTATAATGGCACATTTCCTGTACTGGTCACCCTCTGGAGGGAGGGCAGTAACTTGTATGTAAGGGCCTTATGCTGTTAACAGAAAACACCCTTCCTTCCCCACTGGTTCTCTGTCTCCAAGCTGAAAACAAAATAAGCCGAAATGGGACAGCAATGGGATCCCTGCTGAGGAGATGGTCTGGCTTAAGGATTTGCAAGATGGTCTCCCTGCCCTAGTCGAGGCTCTTGGTCCAGGAACGGTCTCCCGCAGTCTGAAACGTCCTTTGTCTCTACATGCCTTGGCCAGCTGTTTGGGACATCACAGGGCAGGGTGATGTGCTCAGGTCACTCACCACAGGGCCTTGGCCATTGGGACCAGCAGCGGGCAGCCAAGCCAAAGACCCCAGCAGATGGGTGTTCCTAAAAGCAAACACAAGATGAGAGGACACATGAGGTCTCGGCAGCCAGAGAGGGCGGAGGCATCACACCCAAACGCCCTGAGTGTCTCTCTGGGACACTTAACACCAAACCCTGATTTGTTCATCTGTTAAGTGGGAATAGCGAGCCCAAAGGGAAGGGGAGGTGGGGGAGTGAGAGCTGAATGAGACTGTGTGAATCAGCATGTATCAAATCTGCCTTAATCATAAGAGTCTTGGGAGCGTGTTAAAAATGTAAATTCCGGCTGGACTCAGTGGCTCAGCCTGTAGTCCCGTGCTTTGGGAGGCCAAGGTGAGTAAATTGCCTGAGCCCGCAGGTTCGAGACCCGCCTGGGCAACTGGCGAGACCTCATCTCTACAATAAATCAAAAAATTAAGCCGGGTTTGGTGGCTCAGCCTGTAATCCCGCGCCTTTGGGAGGCTGAGGTGAGAGGATGGCCTGAGCCCGCGGGTTCGAGACCCGCCTGGGTAGGCGAGACCTCATCTCTACAATAAAAAAAAAATCAGCCGGGCGTGGTAGCGCATGCCTGTAATTCCGGCTACTCGGAAGGCTGAGGCGGAAGGATCGCCGGAGCCCAGCAGGCGAGGCTGCGGTGGCCGGGAGCGGCCACTGCACTCCAGTCTGGGCGACAGAGTGAGACTCCAACTCAAAAAAAAAAAAAAAAAATTAGTCGGGCGTGGTAGTGCATGCCTGTATTTCCAGCTACTTGGAAGGCTGAGGCGGAAGGATTGCCAGAGCCCAGCAGGTCGAGGCTGCGGTGGCCGGGAGCGGCCACTGCACTCCAGTCTGGGTGACAGAGTGAAACTCCGACTCAAAAAATAAATAAATAAATAAATAAATAATGAAAATTTTAAAAATGCAAATTCCAGGATCCTCCCCTGGAGATTCTGATTCAGCAAATTGGTGAGGAGGCCCAGGAATTTGTGTTTTAAACATCTTTCCCAGATGATTCTGATTATTAAGCAAATTCCGGAATAAGAGATTAAGGGTTTGGCCCACAGGAAGGTTCACCAGCAGCCCTCGCTCAGGTCTGTGAGGTGAATGGAGGAAGGAAGGGTATCCAGGATCCTGCCTGGCTGGGGACATATAGGGAACATCTTTTTAAAGGGCCCTCATCACTTTATGACACAGCTGCTTCAAGAGAAAATGAGTCCCGCCTTTCTGCAGGGAATTTGACAATGTCCATCAAAATTACAAATGCACATACCTTCTGATGCAGCAATTGCACTTTGAAGAGTTTATCATACAGACATACATGAACATACACGAATGATAAAAGGTCATGGGCTACAGCGTTGTTTGTAACAGCAAAAAAATAGAAACAATGGAAATATCCATCTACAGAGATCTGGTTGAATATAGTACAGCATCACCACAAAACCAACAATTACACAGCTCTGGTGCACAGGTGTGGACCTGTCTCCAAGGCATATTGTCAGGTGAAGAATGCAATATGCAGAACAAGGTATATAATATGCTTTTGTAAGGGTGCAGAGACAATCCACATTTGATTTGTTGTGTATGCATAGAACATCTCTGAACAAATACACAAGAAGCTGGTAACATTGCTTGCCTCTGGGGAAGGGAACTGGGTGGCTGGGGGGCAGAGGATGGAGAAAAAGGTTTCACTACTTGCCTTTTCAGGCCTTATGTTTTTTGGTTTTTTTTTAGTTGGAGTCTCACTCGGTTGCCCAGACTGGAGTGCAGTGGCCGCTCCTGGCCACCGCAGCCTCGCCTGCTGGGCTCCGGCAATCCTTCCACCTCAGCCTTCCGAGTAGCCAGAACTACAGGCATGCACTACCACGCCTGGCTGATTTTTTGATTTATTGTAGAGATGAGGTCTCGCTGCCCAGGCGGGTCTTGAACCCGCGGGCTCAGGCAATCCACTCACCTCAGCCTCCCAAAGGCATGGGATTACAGGCTGAGCCACCGAGCCCGGATGCCTTATGTTTTTTGAACCCTGTGCATTACCTATTGTGTACATTATCTATCTGTACAAAACACTGTGACACAAAAATAATTTTTAAATGTGGGCATATTATATTTCAGTGAAAACATTTTTTAAGATAATAATAATACATCAAAGGGAATGGCTTCTGTTTGCAAGCACCACCTCTGGCCACTGGTGGCTGCAGACACAGGGACGACTCCAATTTGCCCTTCCAAGTGAAGGCAGGAAGTGGAACAGAGGCAGATGTTTCAAGGCAAGAAAAGGCAGAGTGGAGGTTTTAGTTAAACACCACGTTCTCTTTCTTCTCTAGGTTATTTGCACATGCTGTTCCTTCTGCCAGGGACATTATCTACCTGGCTAAGCCTATCTTATCCTCACCTTGCGCCTCAACTGAGACATCACTGACTTGAGCTTTCCTCCCCCCCCTCCCCCAAGCCTATCCCTGCGTATCCCATCTCGGCACCCAGCACCCTGCCTCATGGCTGCCTGGGCATGCATGTCTCCCCTCACCCCTGGTTGCACTAAGAGCTCAGTGAGGGAAGGGGACACACCTTGTGGGAAGCTGTGTCTCCAGACTGCCATTCAGATATGGTGCTAAAGACAGAATGGAGTCACAAAGAAATGAAAAAGTGCAGGGAAAGGAGGAGTAAGTAAGGCAGGGAGGAGAAAGGGGAAGGAAAGCCAGACCCCCAGGGTCAAATGCCACCCCCTGGTGAGGCCTCCTCACTATTCCATCTTAGTTCAGCCCTTAGTCATCATCACTCCCCCCGCATATTTTCTTCCCTGGCCTTATCGGATGTGAAATCATCGTCTTCACTTACAGGAGGGACTTATCTATCTTGCCCACCCCTGCATTCCCAGCCCCAGGGCAAATTTGGAACACCACAGGTGCCCAGCATTTATACAAGTCATTAATACTGGACAGTGGCACAGAGGGAGGATACAAAGGAGACATTGAAATGGATTCAGTCCTGAGAGATTCTGAGGCAACGAGTTCTGGGTGGAGCCCGGGGAACTGGAAGATTTTAAAAGCTCCCCCGGGTGGTTTTAAAGTGCTGCCAGGGCTGAGAACCATCTCTGTGAAGCTTGGTAGGGACTTGGGGCTTTTCTGCGAGTGCAGGATTCACCCAATGACTACCAGAGACCTCACTCTGAATCTTTGGAATCTTCCTGCCCTAGGCCCTGCAGGGAGCACAGGGAAGGGGGTAGGGCTGGACCATGGGGCAGGAGGCGACTCGGCTCACCTGGGGGAGACCGCGAGGAGGGAGTTCCGGTGGGACTGAAGCTCGCGGGCGCCTCCTGCCAGGAGTGAGTCTTGGCGCCATCTAGCGCCCGCTGAAGGCTCTGCAGCTGTAGCACGCTGAGCTGCCGGCGCTGAGCGAGGGTCACCGCCGCGGCATTCTCTGGACCCAAGGAGGCGATCTGCTCCGCGGACAGCTCCTTGGGGAAGGGAAAGGCGGCAGAGCGCTCAGAGGGGCCTAACTTTGTCATACCCATGTATCACGTTCGCTCCTTTATAAGATGTTTCCTTAAAATTAGATCACTCTTTCGCTTACCAAAATTAATGTATTTTATTATTTATTTTTTGTTTATTTATTTATTTATTTATTTATTGAGTTGGAGTCTCACTCCGTCGCCCAGACTGGAGTGCAGTGGCCGCTCCCGGCCACCGCAGCCTCGCCTGCTGGGCTCCAGCGATCCTTCCGCCTCAGCCTTCCGAGTAGCCGGAATTACAGGCACGCGCTACCACGCCCGGCTGATTTTTTGATTTATTGTAGAGAAGAGGTCTCGTTGCCCAGGCGGGTCTCGAACCCGTGGGTTCAGGCAATCCACTCACCTCAGCCTCCCAAAGGTGCGGGATTACAGGCTGAGCCACCGAGCCCGGCTAACTAATGTATTTTAAAATAGAAATTTTAAAAAGGAAATTTCCTAAAATTGGACACCAGCAGGATTTACCATAAGTAAACATTAAATAAAAGCCCAAAAAAATGTTGAATTCACCTAGTGAGCTTTGTTGGCCAACAACGGCTGAACCCATGACCTCTTAAAAAGGAGGGAGGGGACATAAAAAGTGTTGTGGAGGTGTTAAAGACATTCTAGCTGCAAACTGACGCTTGCTGCTTGAAGCAATCCGAAGTATTAAAGGAGACTTGGAAAGGGAGTCATGATTTTCTCATTGTATGGCTTACTGTTATTTAATACCAGGCAAGGCACCTTCCCAATTCTTTGGGCCCTTCGTCTCAGGACACACTGGTATGTAGGGCAAAGTCCAGCTCTGACATAAGCTAGCCATGTCACCTTGGGCAAGTGACATAGGTTCTCTGTGGAGCAGCACAGAAAACTCATCTCCTGTGCCGATTGATTCTGATCCTTTGCTATGACTGCCTGAGCACCATGTGATGAGTTCTACTGGGGAGCAGAGGAGGAAAGTGTAGTAATCTGTTAGTGATGTCTGCCATGAACAACATGAGTAGGAAATTGTGTCAGGCACACTAAGTGTGTGTCTTTGAGGACTCTAAGCAAGGCATTTTCTGACACCACCACCAGCTCAAAGGACTTCATGACTAGTTCCAGTAAAGCCAGACAGAATAAGGTGGGATGGCAGGATTTTGCTCTTGCAGAGGGGACTCCAGGGGTATCCTGCTTATTTTCTAAGGGCCCCAAAGAATGAGGGAAAAGTGCTTACATTCTCTCACTTCTTCTTCATCACACTCTCCTCCTCTTCTGCCCAGGTAGATGCCTCCCTGGAATCATATTCCTGTGCTTAGAACCTTTATCCGCACCTCACTCCAGGACATAGCTCAGGCTTCTGGACATGGAAAAGCTCTGGATCCTGCCCATCTCTCCAGCCTCACCTGGCACACCTCACCCCAGGAGAATGAGCATCAATATTCACAGTCCCCAGAAGGCAGCACCTTTTTGTGCACTTCCTTTGGCCTGGAATGCTGTTCCTCCCTCTCTACCTAGTTACCCTGTCCTCCAAGATTTAGTGTCACCTCCTATCCTGTCATCACACACACACACACACACACACACACACACACCCACACACGCATGGGGGGAGGAAACACAAGTGCCCTTCTGGCTTACATCTACCATTTACACAGAGTCTGTATTATAGAAATTGTCTATTTTTCCAGTGTTGCTAACTTGTGACCTATAGACCAGGTTGAATCTCTAGGCCAACTGCACTGTGTTTTCAAAAATAAATTCACATTGGCTGCCAACATTTAACCATCAGTAGATTCCACATGAAAATGAAGATTTCTGGTTTCTTCTTTTAAAAAAGAGAGAGAGAAGAAGATTCAGCAATACTGGGCCCACATGATCACACTGCATTAATGTGCTAGAGATGAGATGCAGCCTCCCCATTTAGACAGGGTTCTCAGTTTACCTTGGTCCCCAGCTTACTTTTTATGTTACTTTCCAGGGTCCTGAAGGCATTTTGTGATGACTCCTTCACCCATGCATCCCCAGGTGCACCTAGCCTGGAGCCTATCACAATGTACACGGCCAATAGGAATTTCTGGAATAGACAAATACCCAAACAAAAAAGCAGCACAACTGTACTCTAAACCAGACCAAAGGAAAGAGCTTACCAAAATGCCAGCATTCAAGACTAAGCTGCCTGTTCCAAGCTGAGTGCCCCAAAGGGAAAGCAGGAATTAGCTCAATGGTCTTAAGAACTGCTGTTTATTGTCCACAAAGTTATTACACCTGCTCTGTGCTGGGAGCTGTCCGAGGTGCTGAAGAGGTTCACGGTAGGCTGTGTGTCTTGAAATTGACCAATGACGTGGCATCATGGGAGTGTGTCTAAACTGGTTTTTGTGCCTTATCCACAAAGTGGATGGACTGAATGTGTTCCCATAATACACAGCAAGCAAGAACACCAGAGTCTCCCTCCGCAGAGCCAACTGTCCCCACCAAACACTCACCTAATCTTGAACATAGATAGGAAACAATGACGTCTCCCTGAATACTGTACTTCCCTGACTTTGATCCAATTCCACCTTCTCAATTTTTTCCACAGTGATTTATCACCTGTAATACTGTGGTTTTCTTAATATTTGTCTTTAAATCAACTAAAATATTTTTTCTTAAATTTATTTTAAAAGGAAATGTTACAGAGGTCCACAATCTCTCATCTGCAATTCCAAAGTTCAAAAAGTATTAAAACTGAAAGTTTTTTCCGAATTTTAATACAAATTTATTTATTAGTAAAACCTGACCTGACTTGATGTGAGACTATTTATTTATAGACTCCATTTATTTCAATTAGTGTGACTTGTCACTGATTTCTTCATAGAAATACTAATGTGTTTGCTTACAAAGTGCTTCCCCATACCCTGTTGGGGGTATTGAGTTACACACAGTACCTGAACAACATAATCTTCTTAAAATCTGGATTCTGAACTATATCTGTCCCAAAGGTTTTGCATAAGGGTTTATGAACTTGTCACACCACCATAAATAGAAAATCAGTACCACTTGTTATAAAGAGAAAGTGTCCATAAAATAGTTACAATTAAACCATAAATTAAACTTTTAAGAAAAAACCACTCTTTTAAAAAAAAAAACAACCTAAAATTGGGCCGGGTGCAGTGGTTCATGCCTGTAATCCCAGAATTTCTCCCAATTTTCCCAAGACGGGAGAATTGCTTGAGCCCAGGAGTTTGAGACAAACCTAGGCAACATAGTGAGACCTCATCTCTACAAAAAATACAAAAATTAGCCGGGCATAGTTTAATTCTGTAGTTCCAGCTACTCAGGAGGCAGAGGCAGAAGGATCACCTGAGTCCTAGAGGTTGAGGCTGCAGTGAGCCAGGATCATGCCACTGCACTCCAGCCTGGGTGACAGAGTGAGCCCATGTCTCAATAAAATAAAATAAAACCACCTAAAATTATCCTGTGACCATTCATTGTTGGCATACTGATCTTCCCTGGCCCCATCACCAGAAGGCTGGTTGCAAGCCTTTAAATTCCAAGGCCTGTCACCTGTTTCCTTGTGTGATTTGAAATGGGGTCAGGCTCCCATTTCTCCTTGAAGAACTGAGCACCTACTTTGAATATCTCATCAGGAAAGCATTTTATTGCTGATGGTTGGAAATATGGCATCAAATCCTTGTCAAGCATCCGGAGCTCTGCCTTAGTTAATCCAGCTGGGGAGGAAAAGGAATCACGAGGGTTTAGTTCAAGCCATCGGAACTCCGCTTGTTTTATTAATGGTGCTGCATAATGTACAGATCTGAGTGTTCTAGGCAAGCATCATCCCTCACAAAAGGCCCTGAAAATCACACTGGAGAATCAAGTTCCTTAATCAACTCAGAAAAAAAATGTGGGTCACATTAGCCCTGATTGGTTTCCTGCTGTGAAATGCATGCCCAGAAGGAGCTTCAATTTACACACTTTCAAATTGTGTATAAACCTATTTGGGGCCAATTAAATCACATTCTTGTGTCTTTCAACCTTTAGTGCACACAACAATCTCCAAGAGAGCTTGTTTAAAAGGCATATTTTCAGACCCTACTCTCTCAAACTTCAAATCATGAAATCTAGGTCCTCCTGTAACTCCATTGATGTTTGCTACACGTGGCCAAGGATTCATTTTATTTTTCTCCTCACATTTAAGTTTGGAAAGAGAGAAAAAAGCATGTTCAGGGTGGCTCTTACCTGCGATGGTCCCCAGCTCCTGCAAGACAGAGCTGGTCCACTTGGTGGGATCCCCAAACACGACTTCTGCCTTCCTCTTAAACTCAGTCAAGACATGGGCACTACAGAGCAGAGTTCCAATTCTGGCCACTACTACCCTGGTTAAAGAGAGCAGGAGATAGTGTGAGCTTGGGGAACACTCCAGTCAAAAATAAAAAACCAATGTGCAGAAGTTAGGAAGGCTCAGCATTGAGAAAGGATCCAGCTAACCCCACTCCCTGTATTAACCCAGAAGGCTACAAAGCATCAGTAAGTGGAGAAAATCTGGATTGGTGGATGGATGGGTGGATGGATGGATGGATGGATGGATGGATGGATGGATGGATGGATAATTTGCCATTGTGCACACTGGTATTTTGGTTACCTGAATTCTGAGATCTTTATAAGTGGGATTTCAGTGATGTTCATAGCACATAGGGTTGCACCAAGTCCAACTAAATGAAAGCTTTTCAGATCCTGGATATTATAGCCTGAATCATCCAGGAACCCTTGCAGGATGGATTTAGCCTATAAAAAATGAGAAAGGATCAAAGATGAACTATCCAGGGATGATCAAGATCCCAAAGTCAGAGGGGACAGCTGAGCTGTTGCTGCAGCCTCCCGATTGATCCCCCACTCTACTCTCTAGAATTCCCTCTCCAAATCATCCTGGTCACTGACGGCAGGTTCATGTCCCTAAGGTGCTACATCAACTGAGTGTGTTCCCTGATCTATGAAGAAGGTATCTTTAGGCAATTAATATTTTATATCTTTCACCAATATTAAAGGCACTTGTGTCCTGTGCTTGTATCTGCTGCTCATTTCCTTCAGTCACTCTTATGACCTTCAGACAGTTTGGACATTGAAGTTCTTCTGCATCCAGATCTGAGCTTTTCTAGCATCTGTCTCCACAACTTTCCAACAAAACCCTAAAATTACTGCCTCCCTGCCTTTGCTCAAGCCAGTCCCTGAAATGCTCCTCTGCACTTCCAACTGTTAGAATCCAGCCATCCTTTTATTTTCAGGGTCAATTCAAAAGTCGCTTTTTGTGACTTTTCAGTCAGAATGAATTTTTCTCCCTCTGTGGTCCTACAGAAATACATTTGCCCCTCGCTCTTCAATTCCAGAGAGTTGAACATAAAATACTTTGATGTTAAAGCATTTTAAGACATTTTAATTACAAGGGGCTAGTGTCCAGGGTCTCTGTAATTCTAGCATAGTGGCTCTTCATTTTTTACTACTTTCTCTAAAGAACCACCCCTCCCACAACCTTACTTCGTGTGGTTCAATCAAAGCTAACTGTACTCTGAGTTCCAGAACTGATAATATGGCCCAGCCTTGAGCAATCAATTCATTTCTTAGCCTGACTGTAGTGATTGGTTCTGAATTTGGCATGTGATCCAGCCAGAGTCAGTCAGGGCTTTTTTGTTAAAGGAAATAGTAAAAGAGCTTTCTTTACTCTGGCCTTGAACTCAGAAGGATACACACAAGAAGCTGCTTGAACTTGCCACATGGAGGAGAGTGCCTGCCTCTCAATGTAGTCAACACAAAAGAAAGCAAAGTCCAAAAATGGATGAGAGATGAAATTCTCAACCATAACATTGAAGCTCCTGGATCCAGTTATCCCTGAATTCTCTCCCTGAACTTTTCAGTTAGGGAAATTCCTTTTATGACTCAAGCCAGTTTTTGTTGGATTTTCTGCCACTTGTAACTAAACAATCCCTGATTCATTTGATCTACCAATGTTGAACCTGAGAAAGCATCTAAGCCAATTACTCGGTGATGAGTCATATAATAAAGTCCGGATCCTTCTGTACCCATGGGGGCAGGTGACAACGATTATGGGAGCTCACAAGGCAAAAGTGGGAAGGAGACATCCAAGGACAAACATCTGAATGGGAGTGAAAGTAAGAGGGATATAGTCAATCTTCCCATCTCTCTTTAGTGCTGATCATCCCCATCACACAATATGGACCATTACAGTGTTGAGACAGATTGTGAAATGTTGCAATGGAATTCCATTTTTCATGTGGCTATTGCCTCTGGTCCCTTGGGTCTGTTTAAATGCCATCTCCTCTGAGAAGACTGCCCTCCAGACTCCTTCATCTCAAACAGCCTCCCTCCTCACTATTCCATGAGTATCTTGTCCATTTGCTGTATCACTTATTACAATTTGTTAGATTTTTGACTTTGATCACTGTTTGTCTGGGTCACCAAGTAGACAAGACTACCCACACTAAGTAGACTACCCACAGACAAGGTCCATTTCCAGATATTTGACCATTGTGTCCCCCAGCACCTAGAATAATGCCTGCCACACAGTAGGAGTTCAATAATTACTTTTTGAGTGAATCAATGGACGAATGAATGGAATAACATCTGAGCAAGTGACCTACAGAAGTCATAGGCAATGTATACTCCTTTGGCATGCATTATTTTGCTGCTTTCATGTGATTGACTGACTTCAGGAAGATTTCCCTCATTTCTGCAAATCAGACTGGTCGATATCTTCATTAAGTTGCCCTCCGTGATTAGAAAGCTACTATGGGGCTGAGGAAGGGGGAAGTTCAATAAGACCACACTTACACTTGAATGTCTTTGACTGAATAGAAATGTGCACCCAAAGTATTAATTGCTAACATTAATTGAATGCTGGCATTATTTTTGACTACCTTATTCTCCCATCCAATTCTCCTAGCAACTCTATATGGACACTACCAGGGGAGGGAGTAAAGGAGGGGGCATGTAGCATCCCAAAGCATACCTGGTCCTAAACCAGGAGAAGTGAGGGTCAATTGGAGGTCCAAACTTCACCTGCACAAAGCCTGTTTGTGGACTAATACTGACTTGTACCCCACATATCTATAATTTTAAAAAATTATCCCTATTTCAGAGAGGAGAAAACTGAGGCACCAAGAGGTTAAGTAACTAGGCCAAGGTCACACAGCTAGAAAATGACGTTTCTAGGATCAAAACGCAGGCAGTCTGACTCTAGAGCCTATATTCTTAGCCAGTGAACATGTTTGGTTATGGAGAAAGGATGGAAATTCAAGTTAGCTTTAAAGTTTTCTTATTAAGTCTTTACAATCAGGTTTCACCAGTTGACTCATGGCAATTTGTGCTCCCCAACTATCAGACATGTTCATTTCAAAACGAAAGTACCAAAATACAATTCAAATAAAATTACTTTGAAGATGTGGTATTAAATTGTCCTTGCTACTGAAACCCAGAAAATGCAAGCTCAGCCTACAAGGTGATAAGTCCAAATATATTTCCTTGAATGACTAGACCAGTGTATATATAATGATTCCAAGACAATTAATACCAACACTTTTAGGCAATATTAACTGCTGAAAAATGAATAGCTGTGAGATTTCAATCTCTCTGCTTATCCCTCTGGCTTCTATAATAGTTTTTTTTTTTCTTATATTGGTTTTTGAACTGAACTATCTGTTAATGTAGCTCCGTCAGGTCTGACTATTAATCTAGAAACATGCATTTAAGGGTTTGATTGGGAGCTAAAGTTGAAGAACTGACTGCAAATGATGTATGCAAATGTTAGGTTTTCATATCCTCTTCAAACATATTGATAAATCTCACTGCCATCCATGGGAATTAAAATTGGTGCAAAGGAAAAGAAATAAAGAGATACCCTCATTTCTAAGTTGGATGGATTTTTCTCCCAGTCTGCAAATAGAATGATTTTAATGGCAAAATTGTGATGTGGCACTTCTCAAACTAGTCAAAAACAGTTTTGGGGTCACAGAGTCACAGGATTACAGAATATCAGAGTGAAAGGAACCTCAGATTGTTGGGTCTAACCCTCTCCACTTGCAAAAAAGGAGGCTAGCCCAGAGAAAGGAAGTGTGTTGATGATGATGATGATGATGATAAAAGCAGCTAATTTTTATTAATTACTATACACCAGACAATGTTCAAAATGTTTTACATGTATTAACTCTTTTAATCCTCATGGCCAGGACTCCCATGCTGCCCAGCTCCAGGGGGCACCACTCACACTGTATTCTGTTTGAATGGCACCATTCAGCACTATGGAACATGGCAACCCTGAATACAAAAAACTCATGAGAGCAGAGGTCATGCATTGGTTTTGCCTGCTTAGCGTCTATTCTCCCTATGTTTAATAACAGAGAAATACTCTGTATTAGTTTCTTACTGCTGTTGTAACAACTTGCTACAAATTTAGTGGCCTAAAATTTATTCTCTTACAGTTCTAGAGATTTCACATTCTAAAATGGGCCAGCAGGATGTGGTCTGGAGATAATTCATTCCCTTGCTTTTCCCAGTTTCAAAGAAGCTGCCTACATTCCTTGACTGATGGCCCCATCCTCCATCTTCAAAAGCAGCAGCATAGCACCTTAAAATCTCTTTCTGTATCCCTCTGTTTCCATTACCACATCACCTTCTATATCTGTGAACTTCCTGCCTCGCAATATAAGGACCCTTGTGATTACATTGAGCCCACCCAAACAATCCAGGATAACCTCCCTATCTCAAGATCCTCAAATTAATCACATCTTCAAAGTCCCTTTTGCCCCATAAGGTAACATATTCATAGGTTCCTGGAATTTAGAAGTAGGCACCTTTGGAAGGGCCTTAATCAGCCTACCATATACCCTTCACCATTCTGTGCTCATGTGGTCATAATGAGATGGACCCTGCTCCCTGATGCAGGCCTGGTCAACCAACATACTCTAACCCTGACCAGAATGTTTGTTCAGGGGTGGGCAACTATATGATTGGAGATCATACTGGGACTTTTTCAAAAACTAATAAATAAGAGGCATGTTTTTATGGGGTAGCTAATTAGGCAGGATATAAGCTTAGTGCTAAAATGACCAATGAGATTGCTGCCTGAGAACAAAGACAGCATGGAGAAGCTAAGGTTTCCATTTCCAGAAGTACAGCAGATTAGACACTCTAAAGCCCTCTCCCAAGAGAAGCCATTAAAATTCTGAGGAGAACGTCTTCTTTAGCTCATGAGGGATTTGCTGACACAGAAATTGTCCTCACATCATAAACAATTGAATAAGATACATGAAACAACTGCACTCAAATACTGAACAAAACAGAATTATAATCCTGAAAGAAAAATAAGATGAGCCCTAAAACTGCCCTTTCTTACTGTCCAAAGGCAGTTTTCAGGTCACAAATCAGGAAGGGGAACACAAATAAGTCCAATTGCTCAGCTAAGTTGAGGATACAGAGATCCAAGTTCAGAGAGGCCAAGGTACCTATCATTTGTGAAGCAAAATACTGGAGAAGGGGAGAGAGTTCCAGAAATCTGCAGAGATGTCTTCTTGAGTACGAGTGCTGATTTGCACATATAAGGAGTGAAACTCCACATAGGCAAGGAAAGAGCCATCAGAAAGTAGTAGCCTGAGCAATTTCTAGAGCTCATATGCAGTTGGAAATAATTCACATTCCCAAACCATGTAAGAAGGGGAGAGAAAAGGGGAGAGGCAGTGACAATACAGACAAATGGAGGCAAATTTTGATAGAAATTAAGAAAACAGAATAGTCAACCTATGGTGATTTATTGGAAAGGGGTCAAGGATGACTCCCAGTTTCTGAAAGGGTGACAGTGCCTTTCACAGAAATGGGGGATACATGGGAGGAGCAAGTTTAGGGTTGGGAAGAATCAAAGGGTAAAGACAATGAGGTAAGTTGAGGGAGACTGAGTCTTAGGTACATCCAAGGAGAGAGATCTAGGCACGTAAGTTCCATGAAGACCCAGATTCTTGTCTATTTCTTTCACTAATGTGGGCTAGTGCCAAGAATAGCACCTGACATAAGAAGATGCCCAATAAACAGCTGTTGAATGAATGAGTATGGGTGTAGAGGGGGAAAAACCTCTGGGTTGGAGGTTAGGAATTATGATGAAAACTGGAGCTACAAAGATGGTCCACAGCATGTAGAATGAGAAGAGGCATAAAGACAGAATGCTTGGGACCCTAATCCTTAAAGGACTGGCAGAGAAAAAAAGAAATAATTCACATTCCCATCAGCCAGAGTGGAGAGATCTTGAAATGCATGGAGCATCACATAGAGTCATGAAAACAATCATTTCTCAATAATGGGGGCAAATTAATCACATAATAAAGGTCACTCTGGAATCACTCTAATAAAGCTGAAAAGGAAGCATAAAAAGGATCAAACTTATTTGAAACTAACTTAAATGGAGGACAGAACAAAGCTCAACACTTTGAAGGAATATAACTAAATCAAACACTCAACAATTTAAAATTCACAATGCCTATCACCCAATCAAAATTACTAGGCTTGTAAACAAGAAAATATGACCCATAACTAAGAAAAAAATCAGTCAATAGAAACAGACTCAGAAATGTAAATATATTTTTAATAAGGAAATTAGCAGCAGCAATGTGAGATCAGCTATTATAAATACAGAATATTTTAAAGACTCAACAACATCTCCCTACCTGTCTGGGGGTCCATTCTGTCTGCTGGCTTAGGGAAGCCACAGTGTCTATGGAGCTGAGGTTCAGTTGCTCCAGCTCACTCTCATTAAGAGCCAGAGCAATACGCCCCAGGGAGACAATATGGTGTTCTTTCCAGTAAGAAGGCATGTCCCACACCTTTAGGTAAAAAAGAAAATAGAATAGATTTAGCATTAGTGGTATTATTTATCATGATCTGAATGCTTGTTTCCTTTCCTCCCACAAAAAAAAATCTTATGTTGAAACCTAATCTCCAACATGATATATTAGAAAGCATGGCCTTGAGAGATGATTAGGTCATGAGGGTGGAGCCCTTATGAATGGGATTAGTGCCCTTATAAAAAAGACCTCAGATAGCTAGTTAGACCCTTTCTTCAATGTGAAGGAGGACACATCAAGAAGACACTATCCATAAGAAACGAGATCTCATCAGACACTGAGTCTGCCAGCACCTTGATCTTAGATTTCCCAGTCCCCATAATTGTGAAAAATAAACTTCTGTTTTATTTTACTATAGCAGCAAGAAGGGACAAAAGCAGTATTTAAAACAGACAGCCGGGCTCGGTGGCTCAGTCTGTAATCACGCGCTTTGGGAGGCCGAGGTGAGTGGATTGCCTGAGCCCGCGGGTTTGAGACCCACCTAGGCAACTTGGCAAGACCTCATCTCTACAATAAATCAAAAAATTAGCCGGGCGTGGTAGCACGCACCTGTAGTTCCAGCTACGTGGAAGGCTGAGGTGGAAGGATCACCAGAGCCCAGCAGATTGAGGCTGCGGTGGCCAAGAGTGGCCACTGCACTCCAGTCTGGGCAACAGAGTGAGACTCCAACTCAAAAATAAAATAAAATAAAAAAATAAAAAATAAAACAGACATAGGGTGATCTACTATACAGTATGTTGACAATAGTTGATAATAATGTATTGTATACTTGCAATTTGCTAAGAAAGTAGATCTTAGATGTTCTCACAACAAAAAATGATATGTATGTGATGTGATGGATATGTTAATTAGCTTTGTTTAACCACTGCACAATGTATACATATGTCAATACATCATATACACTGTAAAGATATATAATATTTACCAACTGTACGTTAATAAAAATAAATTAAAATTAAAAAGACATAGGATAAATTCTAATATATAAAGTTCTCTAATAAATCACGGAGAAATATGACTACATCTGTTTAAAAATAAAAAGATAGTGTAGAAGCATTCTCTTTTCTCTGCAGCCATACTAGTGCCTGTTGTTTTTTTACTCTCTCATTGGTTGTGGGAATGTAAGCTAATTCAACCTTTATGGAAAGCAGTGTGATGGTCCCTAAAAGAACTAAAAATTGTTCATCCATATGATCCAACAATTCCTCTCTTGGAAATATACCCAGAGGAACACAAATTGCTCTACCAAAAAAACACTTGCACACTCATGTTTATTGCCACACTATTCACAATAGCAAAAACATGGAACCAACCCTGCTGCCCATCAAAAGTGGACTGGATAAAGAAAATGTGGTACATATACACGATGAAGAATCATCCAGCCATAATGCAGAACAAGATCATGGCCTTTGCAGCAACTCAGATGCAGTTGGAGACCATCAAACAAAGTGAACTATCACAGAAACAAAGAACTGAATACCACCACATGTTCTCACTCATAAGTGGGCCCTGATCACTAGTTACATTACCACAAGGGAGGGATCAGCAGTTGCTGGACACTGCTAGGAAATGGTGGTGGGGGGGTGAAGGGTGGAAGGCATGTGATAACACAAACAGTACCTGGTCCACTCACAGGGGGAGTGAGGGCCACCTAGAAGCCCAAACTTCACCTACTTATGTGGTAAGTCCTCACTCGTACCCCCACAACTCTATACTAAATTAATGACAAAATAAATAAAAATAAAAAAGATAGACAAAAGATATCAGCAGGAAATTTACAACAGAAGAATTAGACATATGGGGAAAAGTATTTTTATCAGTCATAATTAAAGAAATGTACATTAAAAATAATCAAAGAAGACCATTTGGCTTATCATATTACCAAAAAGAAAAAAATCACCACTTATGATGCTGGAAAGACATGAGGTAAAGGACTCCCTCACTTGTTGTGGTTGGAAATATAAATTGGTACATGCTTTTGAAAGGGCAATTTGGCTATCTATATCAAAAGCTTTTAAAGTATTTATATTCTTGGACCCAGAAATTTTACCTCTGGGAATTTAGCCTAAGTAAATGAGACAAGAGCTCAAAGATATACGTATGAAGGTGTTCTTTCAGGTATTAAAAAAATACAAACAATCTAAATGTCTAACATTAGCTAAATAAATAAGGACCAATCATAATGTGCGATGCAGCTGTCCCTCTGGACTCCTCCACAGAGGATCAGTTCCAGCATTCCACAGACACCAAAAACCCCAGATGTTCAAGTCCCTTATATAAAATGGTGTAGTATTTGCATATAACCCACACGCATGTTCCAGATTACTTAAAATATTTAATACCATGTAAATATATACAAATATGACCGTATTTTTATCTATACTATTTTTTATTGTTATTTGGGGAGGGGGCTTCTGAATATATTTTTGATCTGCAGTTGGTTGAATCTGTAGATGTGGAAGTCATGGATATGGAAGGCCAACTGTATTACAGACTATTTGAAATACTGATACATATTTATATCTCTGATATGGAAAAATATGTACTCTGCACTCTTGAGTGTGGCAAACAAGTTATTGAATAGTAGGTGAGTATGATATCATTTTTGTAACATATATGTGAATATACATAAAATGCATATTAAATATATAACTATATTTTATCCACATACATAGAAGTCTGGGAAGTTTCAGAAGAATATGTCAAAATACCAGCAGTGCTTAGCCCTGGGTAAAAGATTAGAACTAATTTCCTTATCTGTTATTTTTTTACTTTTCTACAATAAACTTAAACTGCTTGAATAAAAAATAGAGTTACACATACAATTTTAAGACATTTAATTATTTAAACCCATGAAGGTAACTAGATATTTCACAACTATCTGAACAGCTAATACAAGCCACTCAAAGGGACCTTTCTAAAGATGGCAAACTACTTCCAGTCCTATATTTACTCCTTTCTGCTAGGTTTTCAGATGAATTTGCAACAGATTCTGAGAACCTGCTGCAAGCAGCAGTTGGGGGTTTCCAAGTGGAAGAAGAAAAGGTTTCCTGAAAACCACCTTGGTCAGAGGCATTAGTACATCCACAGAATCTGATTTACTGAGCATTCACTAGATGCCAAGACACATTTCATTCCATTCTCTGCTACAGCCCTAAGAAACTGGAGATTTCCCCATTCCTTGGATGGGGGAATCACAGCCACATCACTGAGCTGATGCAGTGAAATTCCAACAAGATAATGTATGTGAAAATTCTGCTCTACGTGCAGAAATGCTGAGCTCATTTTTGGTGTGTGTGTTTTTTTCCCTCTGTTTGACGTTTTCTTCCTGCAGTGGGCTTCACCTGTATCGCCTTCTCCTTGAGGGACATCAGCTGAGGCCAGCTAAAACCCCTGACAGCCCCCAGCAGCTCAACATTCCTGATGAAGGTGTCTTCCTCCAAGCAGAGCAGGTCCTCCAGGGCCCAGCAGGCGTTGGCTTCAGCCAACTTGGAGATGTCATCGGAAGATGGGGCCATGACTCCATGGCAACCTGAAGAAAGGGGAGATGCAGGGAAGAAACAGAGGGAAAAGAATTTCGGGAAATGTTAGTCTATTTCTTTACTGAAATGAATACTATTTCTTTCTAGTCGAATTTATTCATGAGAGGCAGTACAGTGTAGAAGTTAAGAGCAGGGACCTAGGAATCAGTTTGGATCCCACTTCTGCCATTTCTTGCTAATTACCTGGTAACAAAATCATGGAAATGTCACCTTTTTGCATATCCACATACAAAAGGAGAAGCACTGCAGCATTACAGCCAAACTCTAAATTCCTGAAGGGCAGCAAGAGCTAGTGAACAGTTCTGACTTTATATTCAAATTTGAGGCTGTTTCATTTCTTTGTATTTCAGTTTTCTTGTCTATAAATGTAGATAAAATCACTTCATAAGTGGTGGGAAACTATCGGGGGGTAGGGAGGGGAAGGGAGGTGGGACTAACGGTAGTCAATATCTGTCTGGGGATGGGGAGACACCCCTTATTAACAAGGGTGCCTGAACGATGCACATTTGTATACCTAACCCATAACTGTACCCCACAGTTTTATAATAAAAAATGTTTTAAAAAAAGATAGTTATGAAGACTAAATGATTATTACATATAGAGCACTTAGAAGAAGCATACAGTAAGCACTCAATACATGTTAGCCTTGGTCACTATTTCTGTTACCTGCCTAGCCTTTATGCATTTGAGTTTGCAACCCAGCATAAAGGTTCAATAATTATAAAGGAGGAGCCCTCCTGTCAAAATGGAGGGCTTCTTCATAATAAAAATCCTAATGGAGGCTATGGCCCTCACATCCTAGGAGAGAAGAGAATTGTGTTTCCCTGGGCAATAAGAGAACCCATCCAGTTCAGTCTTTGAACAAGTTGAACCTTACCTGGTCAAATCAGTTACCCACCAGCACACAAATGAGATATTGCCCTTGCTGACCTCAACAAGCCTGAAAATCCCAGGCTCCTGAAGTGCAATCCCAGACTTGTTTTATCAGCTGCCCACCACTGATGCTGAGAGACTCACTGCCACACCCAAGGCCAGGGCATTTCCCAATCCCCATGGCCACTCTCTTCTCACTGCATCTTCAAAGAAAATTCACTGGACTCCAAACAAGAGGCAACATTGGACCAGATCAAGGACACAGTTGTGACCCTCAAACATCTTTACCACAACCCACTTGGAGGGGACTAAAGCCCCATCCCTCCCAGACCCATCCCCACTCTACTTTCCCATGAAAACAGGACTAGCAACAGCACAGAATTAGAGAGGAGCAAAAAGGTTGAATAATACAGCAAGGACTTGGTTTTATCACGATGTGTGTCCAAGGCTTAGCATAGACCCTGGCACATAGTAGGTGTTCAGCAAATATTTGTAGGGTAAATGAACACACACACACACACACACACACACACACACACACACACACATTAACTAAGGTAAAAACAAACAGTAATTCTTTTAATTCATGAATCACTAAAAGTACAGTGCAATTAATACCTAGAACCAACTAAAGAACACTCTGACTATGCACTGACAACAGAGCTTCTTCCCCTGAACATGGAAGTCTTACATTTTGTACTACTGCAAGATGGCATGTACTGCTAGACCTTGAGGGCAGTAGGAGCTAGTGGTGACCATCACCAGGTTTGAGGACAAATGCAAGAGCTGCCATTTGCTAACTCTGTGACTTTGGTCAAGTCCCTTAATCTCTCTAAACCCATTTCCTTCATGATGAAAATGGGAGGAATTATAGGGCCCACCTCATAGGACAGAGGTGAGGATGGGACAATGCAAGGAGAGAAGACCACCCAAGCTGAATATAGACAGCCTGTAACACTTCTTTGCTCAATGTGCCTCCACCCAGAGGAAAAGCCAAGGTCCTCTGGGCTTCCTTGATCAAGTTCTACGTGGTGAGCCTTGTCTCTTGCTCCTCTCCAACCACACTGGCCTCTATTCCCCTTTCTCTCCCACTTCTGCCATAATTCCTCTGCCTGCACATGGCCCATTCCCACACTCCTGGAGTCTTCTGCTCAAGGTCACTTTCTCAAGGAGATCTTCCTTCCTTCATGGTTCTCTTTTCACATGGCAATCCCCCATTCGACACTCCCAGCCCCCTTCCCTCGCTTGATTTTCCTTCTTGGTTCTTATATATATTTATAAGCGCTCCATATATTTTACTTATATATGGAATTTACTGTCTGGCTACTCCCTCCCCCCCTTCCACCTGCCATTTAAAAACAAGCTCTGGCCAGGCCCAGTGGCTCACGCTTGTAATCCCAGCACTTTGGGAGGCCGAGGTGGGAGGATTGTTTGAACCCAGGAGTTGGAGACCAGCCTGAGCAACATAGTGAGACCTCATCTCTACAAAAAGCAAAAAAATTAGCCAGTGTGGTGACAAGTGCCTGTAGTCCCAGCTACTCTGGAGGCTGAGACGAAAGGATTGGCTGAGCCCAGGTTGTCGAGGCTGTAGTAAGCCATGATCACGCCACTGCACTCCAGCCTGGGTGGCAGAGTGAGACTCTCACTCAAGAAAGAGAGAAAGAGGGAGAGGGAGAGAGGGAGAGGGAGAGAAAGAGTGAGACTCTGCACTAGAGTGAGACTCTGACTCAGAGAGAGAGCAAGTTAGCTCTGTGAGGACAGGGATTTTTGTCTGTTTTGTTCACATAGTCGGTGTTCAATAAATATTTGGTGGATGAATGAAAGCAAGCACTGACTGTCAAGTATTATTATTATTATTGGATTTGATTAATTTTGTCTCCTCAGGCCCGGCATGAGTCTGCACTTGGTAAGTGTACAGTAATAATAAAAACATCTAACACTTGTTAAGCATTTCCTAGATGCCGGGCACTGTTGTGAACATATTGATGGGTTTTGTTGCTGTTGTTAAGAGACAAGATCTCACTCTGTAGCCCGGGTCCTGGAGTGCAGTGGCAAGATCAGATCCTCACAATAACCCAATGAAAGAGGGACTTTCATTATCCCCATTCTACAGAGAATGAAAACTGAGGCACAGAGAGGTTTAAAAGCTTACCCAAAGGCTAAGTGGCAGGCTCAGGAGTACAATCTGGGCAGCCTGGCCCTATCACTGCAATATGTAGCCACCAATCTATATTGACCCTTTAAGTCAATCCTATTGAAGTATTCATCACATATACTCACCCATTAAACCTAGTAGCCTGGGTAAGGAGTTCGGGGCATGATTCCAAGATACTTTACAAAGCGTGGTTCTTTTGCCTATGAATTTTTCCCCTTCTATTACCTTGCTGACATGTCCCCTAGATGAGACAGGCTCTTGATGCCAGGGACCCAGTCCAAAACAGTGCTGCCCTGGCACGGGCTCAGATACCCCAGAAACACTCACCAGGGATGGGGTCAGAGCTGGGGCTCTTGTCACTGCTGTTCGAAACAGATTCAAAGACAGCCCAGAGGAATTCTTTAGGGGGCAGAGTCCCGGCCATCTTGGAAGCTGTTTGTTGAAGGATCTCAGGAAACTGTGGGTTAGAAGATAAAAGAAGAGGAACAAGTAATAGCTAAAGCACACTAAACACAGATTTGAATCAGAATCTACACTGTAACCTACTTACTGCCTCTGCTTTTTTTAAATAGCACCTTCTCATATAAATGTAAGCCCAGGTTCAATTAATATGGTCTCCAAAAAGAATCCTATAAAATGATGTTCAATTCCAATAATAACCCAATAAATGCTAAATAACATAAGTATACCTCACTTTTCATCCATCAGATTGTCAACAAAATAAAGTGATAATACTGAATGCTGGTCAAGATACAGATGTGCACACTCATTTTTCTGTGGAACTGTTATATGGTGTATCATTTCCAGAGCACTCTAACAATATTTACAATAAAGTAGGTATGCCTACCCATTTTTAAAAGTTGCTATTTTAAAATTCTTATTAAACTTTCTATTTATCATAAAAAGGAAGCAAAGAACAGTTATCTCCAGATTCTGGTGCAGACTAGCAATGAGGGGGCTTGGGTTGCCCTGGAGAAGGCACCGTTTCTCATCTAGAACAAATGCGCTTTGTCAAGACTTGAGATATTATTGGGAGACCTGTCACAAGCCCACAGAATTCATCAGGCTCTTCTTATAGCCATGTGTCACTGCATCCCAGTTCACCCAAAGAGAAAGCACTTCAGTTTATATTGTTCCTCCTTCTATTCTCATCTTCAGAATTAGAGTCACAGTCTAACCCAGCAGTTCTCAACCTTGGTTGTACATAAGAATCACCTGGGAATTCTACAGACACCCAGGTGTCACCCTCAGAGATTCTCAGTCAGTTGGTCTGGGGTGGGAACCATGGATTAGTACATTTTAGAATCTCCCCCAGGTGATTCTAATGTGCAGCTAAGGCTGAGAGCAACTCTTCTAAGTTAGCTAACTTTTAGAAAGCAAAGTGCTTAGCCGAGTGAATGGTATTTTCCATTTTGTATTTCTAAAGGGGAAAACCCATGGGTAGGATTTTTCTGAAAGAATGCAGAAGAAACTGGGGACAGCAATTGCCTCTGAGGAGGGAGGCTGGGGAACTAGAAGTCTAGGGGGAGAAGGGGACTTGCTGCTCATTTTATTGCCTTTGGTACCAGTGGGATTTTTTTAATGAGGAGCATGTATTACTTGTTTTATTAAACATTTCTAGTGTAAAAAAAATGTACAGAGAATGATACAACAAAGCACTCATGTACTCACAACCCAGCTTAAGAAATAAAACATCACAATATAATGAATAAGTTCTTCCCTCAGTCTTCACCTTCCTCCTTCCCCAGAAGTAACTGTCACCCTGAACTTGGCATTAGCGATTCTCATTGCATAATTTTAAACCTATCTTACAGGTAGACTTATTTTGTATGGGTTTAAAATTAATTTAGCTAGTATTTATTTATTTACTTAGTATCCTGCCACATATTCTTTTGCAACTCTTTTTTTTAAACTCTACACTGTTTTGAGAGTTCATCATGTTTACACAAGAATTTTCAACTTCAGAAGTTGATTTTTTAAGGATTAGGTAAGTATATAATATTTGTGCATTGATTGCTCATGACCATATATTTGGACATGCAAAAGAGAATTTAACTATGACTGGCCATCAGAATGTCTGCTGTGCATGCGTGACTCTGGGTAGGCATGCCATGTGTTCAGGCCCTACTGAGCATGTGTGACCATGTGCCCCTTGTGCATACAAGAGCAGGTATGATTACATGAACATGCTTTGTGGGAGATCAATCATTCACTCCTTCCCCCTCCTCTACTTCCACGGAAGGAGACAATTTTCTGGGCCATTGAGATTGGGCTTGGTCATGTGACTTGCTTTCACCACCAAAACATGGTATAAATGACGACATGCCATTTTTCCAGCCTAGGTCTTAAAGAGAATTGTACTGATCTACTTCCAGTTCTGGAATTTCAGACCTTCACGGTGAGAGCAAGTTCTAGGCAGCTTGGGCCCTATAGACAGCCTTACGGAGCAGCACTGTCCTAGTGATCCACAAATCAGGCAGCAAAAAAAAAATTATTTTTGGTGTGTTTTGTTTTGTTTGTAAAGATAGGGTCTCACTCACTCTTACGGAAATTGGAGCAGGCAACCAATCCCTGATCAAAACCCTAAGTGTCCATACCAAAAGAAATAAGATAGACAAGTGGGACCTCATCAAACTGATGAGCTTCTGCAAAGCAAAAGAAGCCATCAAGAGAACAGGGAGACAGCCCACAGAATGGGAAAAAATATTTGCCAACTGTATATCTGACAAGGGCCTAACATCTAGGTTCTACAAAGAACTCAAACGTGCCAAAAGGAAAAAAACAAACAGTCCTATTAAAAAGTGGGCAAAATACATGAGTAAACACTTCTCAAAAGAAAATATATAGACAGCCAACAGACACATGAAAAAATGCTCAGCCTCACTAATCATGAGAGAGATGCAAATCAAAACCAAACTGAGATACCACCTAATCCCAGTAAGAATGGCCGTCATTAATATCACAAACAACAACAGAAGCTGGCGAGGATGAGGAGAAAAAGGAACACTTCTACACTGCTGGTGGGAATGCAAACTAGTGCAACCTCTTTGGAAGAGTGTGGCGATTTCTGAAAGAACTAGAAACTGACCTTCTATATGACCCAGCAATTCCCCTACTGAGAATATATACCCAGAAGAACTCAAATCATTCTACAAAAAAGATACTTGCACACACGTTTGTTGCAGCTCTGTTCACAATAGCAAAAACATGGAACCGACTGTGCTGCCCATCAAAGCTGGACTGGATTTTTAAAAATGTGGTACATATACACAATGGAATATTATGCAGTCATAAA